GGTTTCCCGAAGATTCAGAGGGTCTTCGGCGTGGTTACAGGAGATTACTCAGCAGTGTGAAGCGGGACATGGTCTCACGGTTAGGGCAGGTCGTGGTCGAGTAACAAAACCAAGGCAATGAACCCCCAGGGCTTGGTGGGTTGATAGATCTAGAAAAAGAGCAAGTAGCAAGGCTGGCTCAGATGTGAGGTGGTGGGAGGTGCATTTGTAGATCCCGGAGCATCAGAGAGACCCCAAAGGAGAGGGACTCAAGGTGTATGATAATCCTAAACATGATAAAACAATAATACCTTTAGAAGAAAAAGCCTTTGTGATCTTGGGATAGGCAGAGATCTCTCAGGACACAGCAAGCATGTACCGTAAATGAGATTATTTGTAAGCTGAGCTTTATCAGAATTAAAAACTCCTGTTCTTTGAAAGACACCATGAAGAAAAAGGAAGTCCTAGATGGCAAGAAGAGTTTGCAATAGAATGTAGTTGACAAAAGTCTATCTAAGGGCCGAGGATTTAGCTCAGTGGTTCCGGCACCTGCCTTGCAAGCGCAAGGTCCCGAGTTCGATCCCCAGTACCAAAAAAAAAAGTCTGTCTAGAAGCCAGGCATGGTGGTGCACGCCTGTCTTCATAGCACTCAGGAGACCGAGGCAGTAAGATTGCCATGAGTTCGAGTCCAGCCTGGGCTACATAGTTCAAGGCCAGCCTGAACTACATAGCAAGACCCTATCTCAAAAAAAAAAAAAAAGCCTGTCTAGAATATATAAAGAACTTTTTTTTTTTTGGCAGTGCTGGGGATCAAACCCAGGACCTCACACATACTAAGGTACCAGCTCCACCATGGAGCTGCACTCCCAGGCCTTAAAGAACTCTTACAACTGAATAAGACCACTCAATAAAACAATAGGCAAAGAGTTTTTAGTAGATGCTTCATAAAATATAAAAATGGCCAATATGCAACAAAAACGTTCTTGACCCATTTAGTCCTTATCACAGTGACGTGACACTGCCCTTACAGGATAGCTAACCCCAACCGTGGCACTTTTGTCTCCTTTACCATACTGAACCTTCCAGTGAAGACAGTAACAAGGTATATACTTGCACTTAACACAATCCAGC